GAAGGAATAAAGAGCAAAAGAATTGCAATTGTGTGAAAGAGCCTTAACACGAAAAGGCTTTAAATCTCCTTGAAGGAAACTTTTAAACGTCGATCGCAATAAGGAAATTTCGCTCAAGGACCAATTTTTCGGCGCAATTATGTCATTCAGCGACCTGGAATTCAAATGGTGGAGGTAGGTCGAGGTGAAATATGTGAAACAAGATACTAACTAAAATATTAGGTTGTATAGAAGATTCTATTGGATTATGGGAGAATATAATTTAAAACTTGGAAAAACTGCTGAAAATATAGATTTAGCATTTGAAGAGGGTTATATAAATGTTAGGATACTTCAAGGTACAATACCGGCCAAAAGTTTGGAATCACCTCCCACTTTTCATCAATGCTGCTAATTTTTTTTATAGATTTGAAGTTTATCTCAATTCTACGTTTATCAATTTATCTCGTATCAATTGATTCGAAGGATAAAAAATTCTCAAAGTCGCTGACTATTTTCTGGAAATTTTTGTGTAAATTGCAATGCTCGGTGATTCCAAACTTTTGGCCGGTAGTGTAAGTGTGAAAAATACAAGATTGGAGACTTTTCATTGGAAATGAGCCAAGAGGAAGGGCCATCGATGATAACGTCTTAAGAAAAATTATTGAAAACAATCCACGGTGAAGAATATGAAATTTTGCCACATCATCCCCTAATTCACTCGACCTTCCCCCCAACAGACTGCTATTTCTTTAAACACAAATAAATTATTCCGAAATGAAGACACTGTAAAAGCAGCATTCAAAGAATTTTGCAATTCAAAGACTACTAATTTTCATATATTCGGAATAACGAAACTATTATAGTCAATCCTTGGGAAGACCGTACAAGATTTGTCGATATAAAAGTCTATAGATCCTGAAACGTTTCTTTTTAAACGTGCCACCTTTGTATCGCAAAACACTTAATTTCAATACTTTTAATACTATTTCATATTCTTTACAAGTATCTTAACAAACCATTATTGGATTATGGGAGTTATTGGTTGTTAAATAATTAATAATCCTTATTTTAAACTATAAACTTTTTATTAGACACAAGGGAGGTTCGCTTTTCTACTTGATGGTAAGAGCACTGTCTACGGACTGAGAATGCCCCTACGCAACGCCCTAATATTGTCTACGACCCCGCTTGGGACCGAAGGGCCTTTTGTCACGTATCATAAACATTTAGATCTTTACTAAACAGAGGTGGTAAGGCTAAACGGATTTCTCCGAACGTACACAAAAGTAATATATACTTCCTAGTAAGGCCTTAGATTAATTTTTGTTATATCTAACTGACTGATAAATCTAACAGATTCGTGGGGATTTTCAATAAGCAGCGATTCGGCACGTTAGACTAAATAAAACTCGATGAGAATATATGAAATTCGCGTGTATTCTTTCGTACCATTTCTTCGTCTGTCTCTTAAAACTCTATTTTCTGCAATCCACTAGTTTCTTCTGGGAGTTGCACTGTTTCGAAGATGGAAGAAAATAGAGTAGGTTAACATTTCTCTTTTGCCAAACAAGGAAAAGTGTCACTGAAACAGTAAGTAGACAGCCTATCGCAAAATGTTGTTGGTAAATGGTTTGCAAAACACGCAGACGGAAATTTCCATCTTCAAAAACTAAAATAAAATAAAACAGTAAAGGACGACGGTACATGTTTTATAAAATAAAGGAATTATTGCTCAGATGTACGAACTTTACTTGTTTACTCAAGAATCGCCTCGAATCTTCCGGACAACCCGATATTTCACGAGTTCTACGCCACAAAACGTAGCTAGCAATTATTTAAAAAAAAGATCTGCCGTATACAGATAAGAATTAATTCCATTATGGCGTTTCGTTGGCAAATCGCTTTCCTGGAAAATTCTCCACAGTCTTTTGTTCGATAACACAAAAAGCCTTCTATATATAGACTCGGACAAATGGAAACTCGGAGGAAAGTTCATCGTGTGACCCGCATATTCCGCGAACCTCGTGAGATATCCTGAAAATTAGGACCGGGGAGGTTCTCAGATCGCGCGAAATCGCAGTCAAGGTTCACGTTGAGAACGTCGCGGCTCGTGGATAATTTTCTATGCACAATGGCGAATCAGATAGCCCGTGCAGATATATAGTAATGGCTTGTCGCAGCGAGGAAGTGTCGAAACGTTTTCATTCACGTGTTATTAATACCGTAGAAATTTTTCGTTAAGCTGGTATTCCTACTTGAAGGCGTGATTTTCAGGCGATTTTTCGAATAAGATATTATTGGACAATTGTAAACCAAGAGACTTGAAATTTTTCATACATGTTTGGTCGTGTTTCAGGAAAATAGTGCAATTTTTAGGTAACCATTTTAATTATTGTTTAAGTTATCACTAGACTGCGGATTTTTATGCATTTGTGGAAAATTTCAAGACACGAAAATACACAGAATGCAGGTAATAAGCAAAAATATACGAATAATCCCAAAATATAGCACTCGTTATAATATTTAGTGAATAAAACAGTTGCCTATGTAACTTCTATTTTTTAAATTATATTCACGGAAATATGAATTTGCATAAAAATCCGCAGTCCAGTTATCACATATTTCCCGCTGTGTGCCGTTCTGAATGGCTGCCACGATTCAACGTGCCACGACAAAGATAATCTTAAACTACACGACTGTTGTTATCGTCTTTATTAGAATAATGTATTTTGACAGAATGACAACAGTGTGAAGTGAAAATATCGTTTTTATCGTAAAAGTTTGAACTTTTTCAAGTAATAAAAACAAAGAAACTATTGCAGATATTGACATACACTACCGGCCAAAAATTTGGAATCACCTGCTGTTAAGGCGTAAAACTAATTATAAGTAAAAACCATTGTGCATATTTCACCTTCTTTGAATGTATAGCGACGATTGCCCCTTTTGTAGTAGGATTAAGAATTTTACCTCGGCCGTGTTAATTTTCATTTACCTTGGCCGAGTCAGGGCAACTAATAAAATATTACCTGCTACGGTTAAGGCATGGGGAAAATCCGACACATGCCACTCGAAGGTACTTGCAGTACCTGAGGGTCACGGCGGCTTCCCCTACCAAATTAAAACCACCAATCAAACATCGTTATTCCCATTTCCCATGTCCGCATTTATTATTTAAGCACGAATTCCTTCAAAGGAAGACGAGATTCTAAAAAACTATCAGCTATTCAACACAGAAATTATCACCAGTCTAACGCGTTTTTTTAATTCAACAGTTGTAGAATAAATTTAAAGTTTAAGTGTTATGTATACTCGTGACATCATTCTTTCACCACCTTCCAGTATCCAATTTCAACAAATATTCAATCGTCATTAACGTTGACGTTTGAAGTGAGCATACACGAAAGACTCTCTTTCACACTACAAATTGTTAAATTGCTCACGCCTAGACACCTGCCAATTTACGTCAGTATTGAATCCGCTACTAATTCTTTATTGATTTGAAATTGACGTTGTGGATATCAATAGGACTTTACCTCGTATCAATTGATTTGAATGATAAAAAATTCGTTAAAGAATTATTATAAATGCTAACTTTTCTTTTAAGAATTTTGGTGCAACTTGCAATGCATAGTGATTTCAAACATTTGGCCGGTAGCGTAGTTCTAGTACGGACGATAAAGGGATATCTACTTTATACGTATGTGAAATTTCGGAGAGATTAGTTAATTGATTATTGAGAAATCATGGCAGTCAGTTTGCAAAACACTGTTTCGAGAAAAACGCGTTTAAATTTTTGCTACATTTATTGTTGGCGTTTCTAGAGGTGCATCACTTTCTTGAAATCACTGCAACTTTGTCATTTCGTCGATTTCAGGCGTAAAATGTTAGCAACACATTTTCAAAGTATTATAGTTTGAGAAAGTGCAATAAAGAGAAATCGATTTTTTGACTCCTCCAAATGAGAATACACCCTTAATCCTTTGCAGTTCTATGTCGAGTCGGACTCGACGTAAGAATTTTTACCTTCACATACCACATAATGATAAATTGTAAATTAGAAATGATAATAAACCATTTTTTATGCATTAATATTATTCTGAAACTTAGTGTTTTACAACTAATATTACGCTGAAATATTGAAATAAAGGGAACTACGTGGTATTGCCCGAGAGTGCCCAAATGAGTGCGGACTAGCTGGACTATTTGGGCCGCAAAGGGTTAATACACGCTAAATATTCGCGAAATTCGCCTATTTGTTCTCACACTAAGGTACGAAATTTTCTCTGCGGCAAAGAAAATATTTCACGTTGATCTGTGGGATTCCCACTGTCTTTCTATTCTACGTTTATCGTTGTTTCTATGTCGCGAATTTAGAGCGGCAGCGAAGAAAACGCGTCGAAGAGTGGAATTAATTCCACCGCGAAAAAAATCGCCACAGCCTCGCAATTATCGCCGCAGCTACGAATATTCGGAATATATAAGGGTCCCTTAACACGAAATTAAAAGCAGACCGACGATTTTTACGAGCATTCGAGGCCTTCACGAGCAGCCACCTCAATGCTACCCTCGAAGGTTCCTCGAGCGTTTCTGCTTGATTGCGACAACCTTGCCGCGTTCGAATTTAAATTCATAACTCGCGAAAATGGCGAACTCCTTTCCATGGGATCGAGAACATTGTTCGTATCGTACACATCGCGGTGGAAAAAGCAAATGAAAAAGGAGGAGTTGAAAAAAAGTGAATGGACTAGCATAATTGAATAATCCTTCGTGAATGTAAAATTAATGAGGTAACATGATACTTATGCACGTGGGCGGACAAAAATGACCGGTGAGTAATAATCTAGAAAGTGTTACTATGAAATCATACATATAAACGAGGTGATTAATTTGTTAATCGTGGAGTTTCGAAAATTCACAGAGACAGTTGGGTAGGGGCAAAATGATGGCACACGTTTCTTTAAAAAACATTTATAAAATTTATTGCATGGTTCGTAGTTACTACGGTAGAAGGGGGACGTGTTTTGGTAATGCGCTCATCATGGTGTCTTTTGCGATGCTGCAGGGTGGTTAGGTGGGGACGTGGGGGCGGTGACAGATCTTGGGGGAAAATTCATCTAGTAGTGGCCATGGCCATAGCCCAGTCCCTTAACGAGAACGGGGACTTGTTCCTTAACCAAGACAGGCTGTGGAACTGGAACTGCAACTGGCTTGGAAACCAGAACTGGGACTGGAACTGGATGAGAGACTGGTACCTGCGAATAATAAAGAAATTGATCAGTAAACGAGTGAAAGAATTTTCCAAAAGAGTCTGTTACATAGGCTAGCAATTTTCTGAAGGATTCTTTCTAATTATTTTGTCAAACTTTTTCAAATGACACTTATTGCGGCATATCTGGAGCTCTTAAGGCTCAAGAATCGCAAATTAACCAGTAAACGAGTAAAAGAATTTTCCAGAAGAATGTGTTAAATAGGCTAGCAATTTTCCTTGTGGAGGATTCTTTCTAATTATTTTTTCAAACTTTTTCAAATGACACTTATTGCAGCATATCTCGAGCCCTTAAGGCTCAAGAATAATAAATTGGTCAGTAAACGAGTAAAACAATTTTCCAAAAAAATCTGTTAAATATACCAGCAATTTTGTAAAAGACTCTTTCTAAATATTTTTTCAAAATTTTTCAAAAGACACTCATCGAAGCATCTCTCGAGCCCGAAGGCTCAAGACTGATCAGAATGACGTCATAAAGAGGTAATCGATCAATTGAACTCACATGGACGGGGTATGGTGCAGGCACAGGCACGGGCACCTTAACTGGAACCGTGACTGGGACCGGCTTTTCAACTGGAACCGTGATGGTCTGAGTCTGGATTACTGGATAGGGTTTGGGCACTGGAACCGCAACGGGGACAGGATGTGGAACAGCGACTGGTACCTGAAGAAAATCATCAAGCATAGTATTAAACAAAAATGTCACATCCAAAATACCTAACAATATTAAAGAAATATTTGAAACAGAAGAAAATTATCTCTATTGTGAAATATAGAATAACAGCCAACAATGGTCGCCAATAACCAAGATGTCGATGTGACCTTAAATGACAATTAAAGGAAAAAAAAGAATGCCGTAGACTAAAATCGTATAGAATCTCTAGAAGCTCGGTATGATAAAGGTGTGTAAAAATTTTGTAACAGCTGAAATCACGAACAAGGAAACCTAGTGCACTGTGTTTTTACCTTAACAGGAACTGGTCGGTCGACAGCGACTGGGTATGGTTTCGGGACTGGAACTGGAACAGCGACGGGCCTTTCCTGAATGGCGACCGCGAGTTTGCCATGTCCCAATTCAGAGCCGAGCAGGCCACCATCCCAACCACCGTCCCATCCACCAAGGCCCAAGTTGAGCAATCCACGCTTCTGGACCGTCTTTTCTTCAGCGGCGAACGCCGCGGAGATCACCATTAAACATACCTTAAGTGTGAAAATTCAAAAATGAAAATTAACGATCATATCGGATGATCGTAGAAATTATCACTACGAAAGGCTATCGCGACTGTTTCGATACAACTTGAAGTTTCCACCAAAGTGTTCACCAAAAGAAAAGCCAAAATAAAAACAAAAAGGGAGAAACAATCACTACTTGATGCCCTATCGATCACAGGAAGAGACACGAATTCTCTTTGGAAACGTACCAGGACCCTCATGTTGACCCGACCGATCGGCTAATACTTTTGGCTAGTGTGTCTTGACTGGTAAATTAAATTTGTTCTGTCGCATTGGAGGAAAACCACCCTTTATATAGGGAATTCACTTTCATTTCGCGCGTGCACCCCGCCAATGGAAAGCCAATGGCTGTTCGGTGCGCTATCGCCACACCTACCGTATATATACTATTTACCCACGATACGGCCACATGCCGTTACACATTATAATACATAATGTGCAACGAGAAGTTGTATAACACGGTAAACGTGCGCCGGTCGGGGCTAGTAAATAGAGCGGAGGCACTTTATGCAGATAATACATATATGCGCGCAATACATTTCGACCGAGCTCCGCGTCACTAACGAGGAGCACTCGGTGTCTGCGGCATTTAGATCGGAGGGAACCGCGCGATCGTGAGACTTCTCTGAGCTACTTGCACCCTTTGACGCTTGTTCCGAAATCGTGACGATCATTTTCGCATCAGAATTCATTTGTGACTAATATTCGTGGCACGTGGTGAAGTATCTCCTTCTTCTTTTTCTCGTCCATCGTATCGGGTAAGAATGAATTTTGCTAAAAGAGCAGTTTCGAACAAGAAAGTGAAATCTATCAGGACCACTGACGTGTTCTCGTTTCGTAGTTCCATTTTTCGGACACGACTCTGTCGGTAAAGAAAAAAAGAAAGGAAAGTACAATATCTACTTGACGAAATAGCGAAACGAGAAAATGTTTGAAAATAAAGATTACGATCCATCGCGAGAACGCAGTAGCTTGCCAGTTAATCGACCGGCCGTAATTAACGACGTAATTAATTGCACAAAGTCGGGGAGGTGCGTGCAGGAAATCACCGCGGAATTATGCAATACTGGCGCACAGAGTACAGTAACAAGTGGCAAGTTTAATGGAACGGGAAAGCCGGGAAATTTTATATTCATAAATCTTTCTCGAGTCGATAGGCGCGGAGAAACTTTTCCTGATTTCGTTTTCCAATCTTTAGTGAATTTTCTAGCCTCCCTACGAGATTTTGCATATTTATGTCGACTGTAAATTTTAGTTTCCAGTCTCGATAAGAGTGTGTAATTTGCAACCATGTACCCGGAAAAACTGATTCGACCTGAAGTAGTAATATTGTGAAATCGTTTTGCAGAAATAAACAGCTAGATAATGTGATTCTTTGCCTTGATTCGAGCTTAACCCCTTGACTTGTGATTTCTTTTCTCTGACTTATGCATTTATGCGTCAGCTGTTTACTGTTTTTAATACTTGTCTTGGGTAAGAGAAGTTAACGTATCATAGATCAATTACGTTTGCTAATCTTATAAATTCAAACGAAAGTTAGAATTAAAATTAATTTTTGTTATTAATGTAACTGTGTTTGTCGTATTTCGACTCGTTGTCATAAAGCAAGGGATTAATAATTGTACGTAACATATTCTACAATAATATTTACTTCAAATTTCCCGTAACAATTATCGATCATACACTTCTTACACCGTCTTAGTCAATTTTTGTTTTTCATCGAAATATGTCCAGTAACAATTCTAGTTAAGGTATAGACACGGTTCATCAAGTAGTTCTAACTAATCTTAAATAGGTGTATCGAACAATTTACGTCTGTGGAAGGTAAGTACCGCCTATCTGTAATCATTTATCTGTTCCTCCATACATCAACTGTTATCAGGGTACACAATTTGTATCAGTTCACGTAACAGACAGTTTAATTTAACCCGATCTGTACCAATGACCACTGTCGAAACACGAGAATTTCATCGTCGACACGTATCACAGTGCAATTGACTCGCCTCTCTCGTCATTGTTTCACGGTTGGCGTTTTCACACCTCGCGGGTGTGTATTTCAAAACTGCCGGAGGAAGAAAAAAAAAGAAAATAAAAGTTCGTCATTAGTGACCCGAAGCTTAGAAAGCGTGACGTAATACGGAGTTTCGAACACCTGCCTGGTTGATTAAGAACGAATCGGGTGGCTCGGCTTATTATCACTCGCGATCTCCCCGATTTGCACCGCAGATCGCCGTTTCACAAGCGATTTTCTTTGACGTGAATGAAACGCAAATCGGAATCGATTACCGCCCCGTACTTGTCAATCCGCGCCGTTCCTTTCTGCATGTACAAATAATCGTGTCCATTATACCGCGGTTTTTCCTCCTTTCTTGAGGACATTTCTTGTGTAACGCGATACCGTCTCTAAGCGAAGCCATTGACTATTCATTTGCGGTTTGAAATTCTAGCCTTTCGTTCTCACAATTTACAAACTTACATTACAATATTTTCAGAATATTTCGTAATTTTTAATCGCACGTGCAATTTACAAATAAGGTATTTATCTCCATTTTGTATTTCAATATTTTCGTAATTTTCCCGGTTTTCGTAACATTCGTTCGCAATTCTCGGTTGCGCAACTGCGATCGTTTCGCTACCATTTTCAACTACTTCACGTGTACGTACGCACGTCGATAGTCTGATTTGTTTAACGAGAATTTTACAGTAGCCGATTTTATCGACCGATCGAGTCTTCAGAATCGTATCCGCATTACGCGATAAGGACGTGTTCCTTATTACAAAATTCTCCGCATAGCTGTTTCTCCTGGTATGACTCACGCCCGAGAATTCCTTCCCTCGCCAACTCCCCGAGCTTGCCTACGATATTACACGTTACATTCAAAATCGATACCTATTACATATCCTGAAACTGTATTATCTATCTGTAGAGATCAATGGTACAACAATTTGCGTGGAGGTTTTATCTTTTCCGCGTTAGTTCATTGTACCAATGTGTGTGCAACATTTCGACAGTGTACAAGCAAACCGGTGGTTCACCAATCGATCTGTGAAAACGAGTTTGCGATTTCAATATCGTACACGTTTCGTTGACGTCAGACGTATCAACTTTTCGCGAGAGCCGTGCCTCCAACTTCTATGTGATTTCATTTAGAAAAGATCGTATCGTTGGTCCAACGGAGTGGAACGAGGTCCCCTATCTGTCAAATGCAGCGTGTAGCTTTAAAGTTACGGCCGCAAGTCCCTACTTAGAAGCTGCAAGTCCTTTATTTTTTTGCATGTATATTTTATTTTAGGTTTGAACAAGTCATTTTCACTATTAACACGTTCGTTACCACGGTTTTATCGAAGCATCGCACACTATTTTCTATTCGTAGCATTTTTGTTTACATTCTTAGTATCTATATTTTTATCAGTTTTACATAATATTTGTGCACCTCTGGGGTTAGAGAAAATCGATTATTTTTTGATTAAATTGATGTTTATACTTTTAGAAACATAATTCAGATAGTTTTAACCAGAAATTTCGTCAATTAGTACATCTATATTAGTCTATAACTTCTACAATTTTCATCCGATTCAATCGAAACTTTCGCAGAATATTCTCTGTTTAATAATTTCAAGAAGTACGTCGAATTTTTTGGCAACATATCGTTTAACGCAATTCACATTTTTATAGTAAAATTTTAGGGAAAAATACGATTCTTTCTTCATATGTTCACAATTTCTACAAAACTCAATAGTTTTTTTTAAATCCTACATACGTCTTTAGTAATTGTCACGTAGATGATTTTGTTCCAAGTGAAACCGTGCGGCAGAAGAAAACAATACGGCTATGCGGCTGTAGTGTCGCCATTTTGTAAAGAAATGAAATGGAAAAAATACTTTTACATTGTTCAAGGGTGATATAATAAGGCCTTTCTAAAAAATTCTTCGATCCAGTCAATTATTTTCTTTCAAAAAAATGCCAAAGTTAGGTACCATTTTCAAGACTCAGGGCTGTTCTAACCCTTTAAATGTGCAAACTGTGCATTTTGTATGACGTGTTACCTATAGATAATGCCTGTATTATCATCCTCCATTAATCAATTAATTCTTCACCTTTATCATTCTTCCCGAAAATCGTTTTCTCAAACGTAACTCGATTTTCATTACTCGATATGCACGACACCCAGTTCCCATGTCTAACTGGCACGAAAGTGTTCGTACTTTTACTGTCACCCGTAATCCCTGCTAATTCGTATTCCACGAAATACACACGGTTGTTTAATTACACAGAGCAGCCCAGTCTCCGGTTTCCTTCGTGTCGTTCCGTGCATACCGCAATTCCCTGTAAATCGTTCAACCTGTTTTGTAATTGGTATAACATTAACGATCTTGGTGATTATACCGGTGTCAAGAAAACAATTTTTTCCTTCCTTCGTTCGCGTGTTGCACCTTTCGTATGATACCGTTCAAGGATCCCAGAGCCGGGATATTAAACGAGCTACGGATCGATTTGCGCCTTCGATCTCTGTTGGATCGGTATTACTAATCGCAGCCGAGTCATTTCACCCTTCGAACTATAGTCTTAGTTTGCGTAAAACAATCGTTTACCGTACGAGAGAGAGACATAATAGAACGGGAAAAATGAACGTTGTCAGGATAAGATATGGGCAAAGGCGACAGGCAGGCGAGAGAATAAAAGGATGAATTCCTGTTGATCCTTTTGCAGCTCTCACTTTCTGCCGCTGGTATGCTCGGTGAAAACGGTAACTGTGCCGCTGTTGCTATCAAGATCCGCCTTACGTAAGACGGAGTAACATGTGAGGTAAGCTGGATCAGGGCTTCTCGCTCGTTTATCGTGCTCGAATGTCTCCAGGATGCTAAATAATAATTCTCGTTACTCTCTTACATCTTCCGTCGAAGAATTTCTCCAAATGCTCTCTTACGAAGCCGCTGGCAGCGTTAGGATCTCTTTCTTCTGTCAAAGGATTCTCCAAGAGTATCGTTACTCTGTTGTGTCAGACGTGAACTTAGAAATTCGAAGGAACTGGTTCCAACCTGCTAGAACCAGCGAAAGTGAAAAATATCCATCAAGCCTATGACTAACACCTCGGTAATTGTTTCGTCAATTCGATGTCTTTTTTTCTCCACAGTGGAACCACCCGCTTGTATTATACGTCTAGGCTTCCTTTCACGGAACCGGTACAACTGGACACCG